CCGGTTCTGGACCTGGCATGCGGTGGTGCTGTATCAGTTTCCTGTGGCTGCTGTAACAAATTACCAAAACGCAGTGGCTCACAAGAACGTAAATGTATTATCTTACAGTTCTGGAGGTCAGGAGTCCAAATCAGTCTCAAGACTAAAGTTAAGGTGTCGGCAGGGCTCCTTCCTTCTGGAGGCTCTAGCAGAGAACCTGTTCTTTTGCCTTTTCTGGTTCCCGAGGTCACCGCATTCCTTGGCACTTGGCCCCTTTCCATTCCCAGAGCCAGCAGCCGTCACATCTTCTGACTCTAACCCTCCTGCTTCCTCCTTGTACTTACGATTATATCAGGCCCACCAGGATAACCCAGAGTAATCTCCCATCTCAAGAGCCTTAACTTAATCACACCTGCAAACTCTCTTTTTTCCTGTTAGGTAGCATACTTGACTTACGGGTCCCAGGATTAAGGAAGTGGCCGTCTTTGGGGGTGGAGGATAGGCATCTTCAACAAAATGTTCATTGAGTCACTGCATGAATGATGGAAGGAATAAACAACATACTATAACATCACTTTCCAAGTCTCTGCAACCCTTTTCTGAGTTTAAAAAGGCCAGTGCTCAGTATTTCTTTTGCTTTTCCCAGGCGGAGGTAGGAGGCATGGACAGTAGAGAGGGGTGGGTTGAACTCTGTGTGTCTGGAGGGCAGTCTGAACTAGAAGCATCCAGTTTGTTCCTGTCTATGGTTCAAATCCCAACTCAGTCACTTATTTGCTTATTGCTTATAAGTCTCAGTATTCCCGTCTGTGAAATGGGGATAAAATTGGCTATTGTTTACTGAGTCCCAGCTATGTGATCTGAATTTTTTATGAAAACTTAGTCCTGGCCTTTACTTGCTGTGTGACCTTGGGCTAATAACCTCTTGATTTCCTTGGTGGTGAAGTGGCACTGATGATAACAGCTAATGCATCACATGCATATATATATATTGCAGTATTTGGGTCGAATGAGATATGTAAACAGCTTACTTGGCAATAGTGCCAGCACATGGTAACACTCCACACAAAGCATATCTATTATTTTTCTTATTTCTCATTTTCTTATTATCATTATTCTTATTTCTTTCCTCCTTTTCCTTTGCTTTATCATTACCTATTTTCATGTGATGTCTCTGTTCAGTGTTTTTAAGTATTTTTCCCATGCCTGACTCCTCTATTAAACTAAGTTCAGATTCACCAGATAAGAGCCTGGGTTTTTCATTTTAAAGCTCTACCTAATGCAATGCTTCATTAATGTTGGTTTCTTCTATCGTGGCTTCGGTTTGTCCATCTCGCTACCAAGGTGAGTTCAAAGACCAAGCCTCCTGGTTTCTCCCCTTCTATACAGAGGCACTTTTGAGACGGCATCAACAGTGGGATCTAGTGGAGGGAGGAAAAAGCCTTCCTTCCCTCCAACCCTTTCCCTTTCCATGCACTGCAAATGAAAGTATCTGGGAAGAAATATCTATTATTCTGCCCTGGGACAGAGGTACCAGAGATGGTTACCGTTCTGCCTCGGTGTCTGCATGGCTTGCTATCAGAAAATTAGAGTAGGAAAGAAGCTTTTGTTCAGCTGTGGAGACATCTTAATAGGCGCTTTGATTGTTAAACAGAAGTTTCTGTATCAGTTTAATTGCTGTAAATGCTGTTTGCCTTCTCTGTTATGATAAGGTTTGAATTTTCACAGATTTTTTTCCTTTTCAACAGTTTTCCTTTGCTTTAAGGCTTGCATTGGCAAGTTTAATGAAATCCAAATGAAGAAAGTGAAGGCAGGATCTCAGAGTTCAAATCTGCACACCCACGGACGCAGCGGTGTGGAGGTTATTATTGCTTGAAACTAATGATGCCACAGCCGCTGAATGTAATTGACAGAAATTCACCCCTTCAACCAGATACTGGGAAATGAAACCAAACGACTAAACTTAATTACATCTACTTTTTTGAGAAGGTGCTGTAATTGAGAATAACAGAATAACTAGGGTATGAATCTAACAGTGAGATGTGCTTATAATAAAAGAGGATTTGTTCTCTGCCAAGTTGAGCTTCAGAAGTACCATCTTGGGTTTTTGTTTTGTTTTGTTTTGTTTTGTTTTGTTTTTGCGGGCGGTGGGGATGGGGAGATAGCCGGAGAAGTGAAAAACATCTAGATCAGGGTTTCTCAGCGTTGGCGCTATTAACGTTTGGGTCTGGTTGGCACTTCGATGTGGGGGTCTGTCCTGTGCATTGTAGGATTTTGAGCAACCTCCCTAGTCTCTACACATTAGATGACAGGAACCTCTCCCACTCCCTCCCCAGTTACTTGGCAATATCTCCAAACATGGCCAAATGTTCCCTGGTGCAAAAGCACCCCAGATTGAAAATGCTGATGTCGGTGCTTTGGGAAGACTTGTGAACAATTACAGAGTTACTCCTTGAGGTTCTACTGGTGTCTGGCTGTGTGACATTTAGCAAGTCACTGCACCTCTCTGAGCCCCTGTGTCTTCCTTTGTGCAGTGGTAATGAGAACACCAACTGCGTAGAGGTGTAGCTTCCAGGTATAAACTGCACAGAATAATGCCTAACACATACTGAGTGGTCAATAAATTCACTGTTCCTATTATAATAATCTTGGATTCAGCAAACATGTATTACATACTTATTTCATCCCAGGTGCTTGCAATGCTATGAGGCAGTGATGCAAAGATTAAGGTGTGGTCCCTGTCCTTGTAGGAGTGGCAAATACATGCAGACTTGTTGGTACTACCTTATTCTCCACCTGTGGCAGACATTACTAATCGATCTCAGTGCTCTTTCATATTGAGCTTCAGAATCCTTCTCAACACACCTTTCTAGACAGCCACTACTAATGTCCCAAGAGATGAAACCTATCTGGCACATCTGGTTTTGTAGACTCCCCATGAGGAGGCTGTGTATCTGTGCTAACCCTTCCTGTCTAGCACAAGCATTACACCTCTACACATCCCTGGCGCTGGGGAAAGCATTTTAAGGAGTTAACAGGAAGCATTCTTCCTCCCAAATCTGACTTCAGTCCCTGAAGGAGGTAGGAATGGGGAAAAAATGCTCTCTTTTTCTCTCTTTTTAAATTGTTTTTCTTTCTTGTCTTTTTTGTTTCTCTCAGAAGCCGAAATAAGTAATAAAATGGGCTTGGAGTTGATGACAGTTAGTTTTTAGTTAACCTAGAGGAAATTCCACTGGCTATGATTCTGATTGATATGTCATGCTGTCCCCCTCTTGAGTTTTCTCTGTCCTTTGGGGTTGGGGAAATCATTAGTTCTCCCAGAAATGATCCCAGCTTTATAAGGGCAGAATTGGGGTTTCTGGAAACAGCTTTCAGATGGCTGTCGACAGTGTTATTGGACCGGAGAGAGGAGTGAATAGTTTGGAGTTAAATGCTCCCTGATCGGTTCAGACATGCCCAGCTCTACGATGAGTGTGCCATGCCATCACAATTGCTGTGAAAGATGAGGCGTGCATTTGCAGCTCTGAAAACAGGGAGCTGGCTCCATCCATCTGGTCTGAGAAATGAGAGCTGGCGTGTGGGTCAGCCACTTCCTTCTTCTCTCCCCCAGCTGGTGAAGGTTTCACAGACAGCTCTAGTTCATTTCTGCTGTTGTTTCACACCTCTCTGGGGCCTGCCAAGTCTGCGAGGAGGGTGAATGCAGGCAACCGGGCAGTGGAGCGAAGGTGGAGGCTGGTGCCTAGAGGCTGTGGAAGGAATCCTGCAACTCAGTCAGTGGTGGAGTGATTGTGTAGGCCACTAGGATGTAGCCTAAGGCGTAAAAGAAAAGACTAGATGGGAACAAGCACCCAGTCTGATGTCTGTGTGATTTATTGTTCCTTCCTCATTCTCATTCATCCATCAACTTATCTGTCCATCTATCTATCCATCCATACATCCACCCACCCACCTAATAATCCAGCCACCCACCTCCCCACCTGTCCATCTGGCAGCCCATTTGTCCATTCACCCACTTATCCAACCATCTATCCACCCATCTATCCAAACATTCATCCATCCATCCATCCACCCACCCACCCACCTACCAATCCATCCACCCACCTCCCCACCTGTCCATCTACTGACTCTTCTGTCCATCCACCCACCTACGCAAACATTCATCTATCCATCCATCCATTCATCCATCCATCCATTCACTCACCCACCCATCCACCCACCTACCAATCCATCTATCCATCCATCTATCCATTCATCCATCCACTCATCCATCCATTCATCAACCCATCCACTTATTCTAGCATGAGTTTACATGGTACATGGTTAGATTATTTTAAATAGTTACTTATAATATACAGAAAGTGGTAATGGTTTTCCATATAGAGTTTGCTTTGAAAATAAATGTATTTAAACAAGTAAACCAAAATAAGTCAAATTAAAATATTAAGGAATTAATTTCATGGGTTGTACAGGGGCACAACAAAAATTAGGGAAGTGGTACTTGAATGACCAGCATTTGGAATCTACAGAGTTCACACTTTGTAGGCATTTATAAGTCCCTTAAGCCTGGATTTGCAGCTGCTGTGCAGTCTTATCAGGTATGTGACCTTGAGCAAATGACTTCTCTCCAAGCCTCAGTTTCCTCATCTGTCAGGCTGGGATGCTTACAACCCCTAACCCTAGAGTTGTCTTAGGCTGTAGCAAGCAAAGGCATGTGAGTCACACAGCCCATGCCTGGCACACAGTAAGCACTCAGTAAATGGAAGCCACGCTCAATTTTATTCTCCCCACAACTGGTTTCCTTCAAGGCACTGCCTGGAAGCCCCACCCAAGAGATCTTGCATAAGTTGAGGTAACACAAGCTAAACCAGTGTTCCAGTTGGCTTTGGTTTAACAAATGATGATGGCCAGTGTCCTTCCTGAGGCTGGCGAACCTCCCTCTTCCTTCCTCGGCTTGGTGGGAGCCCAGCCCCGCCTCTGATTCTCTGCCTAACGAGGTCTTCTCCTCTTCTCTTCTCTCCCTGCAGACACACTGTCAGTACCGCGATGGTCCCCGCAGATCCCTCGCAGAGACCTTGGCAACTCCATCAAGCACAGGTAGGCTGGATTTCTGTGTGCACTGGGGCCCACCTCCCAGCACGGTGAGGGCTGGGGGCTCTGGCCTCAGGGTGGGTATGGGCTGGGTTGCCCCAGCTCCTCCATCACCAGGCTCTTTTCTCCTCTGCCAGGCTGAACCTTGATGTGGCAGGGGACTGTGACGTCTGCGTCTTATTAACCTGGCTCTTGTAAAATAACACATAGCGGTTAAAAGCCAGGGCTTTGGAGTCAGACTGACTTGTATTCCAATCCCAGCTAGTAAAGCTTTGCAACCTTGAGGAAGTTACTTAACCTCTCTGAGGCTCCATTTTCTCATCAGATAATTCTGCCTACTCCTAGGGTGGTTGTGAGGATTAAATGAAATAATATATTAACGTGCTAAGAAAAGGGCTTGGCACATAATAACCACTCAATAAATGGTATCAATATTAAGACCAATGCTTGTTCTAATTTTGGGTCTCCCCCCCCCCCGAGAAGACACAAGATTGCAGGCTGAACTCAGATGCTCACTTTCTGGTCAGCCCAGGGCTCCAGCCCTGTTGGGTGCACGGGGCAACCTCTCCAGGGGTATCCCTGCCCTTTTCAGGAGGGAGATTTCTGTCTACTAAGTCAGCCCTTATAAGAAATTAACTTTCCAGATTTAACTTTCCATATTTTATCTCATTAGCCTCGCAATCTGTTCACACCCTCGGTGGGGTAGGTAGCACAAGTGTGGTCACATCCATTTGACAGATAGGGAAACTGAGGCCCTGGATGGTTAAGTGACGGCTCTACAAGCTAATTAAGACCAGCACTTTATGATCTTTTGACACTGCTGCTGAGAGCTTTCTTTGCACTGAGGTCCCTGTGACCAGCTGAGAGTTCACTCATTCATGGTTTCTTTCCACTAGTATTTATAGAGATATCTGTACCAGGGCTGCAGCACTGAGCACGCCCTAAGGCTTTCACCCTTGGGGAGCTCATGGTCTAATGGAGGGACAGATGGTTAACAGACCATGACAGCACCGGAGGATCAGGGCTATAACGGCGGGGCCAAACCAGGGGCAGACACGTCACCATAACCCAGGGTGAGGCAGGAATGGGCACACTCTCCCGGAATGGCCTCTCGTCAACAGATTTCTGTTGACAGGATAGTTGTTAAGACTCACATGAAAAAACGGTGGAGGAAGCCATGAGAAATACGCGATAGACTCATCAGTGGTCAGGCGGTGAGAAACAGCGAAAAGCATCAAAAAGAAGGGCCTTTTTTTTGATTTGCTTACACACTGCCCCCTGGCTGGATCCACCCCTGGATAGGCCACACCCCTGGCTCAGCTCCACCCCTGGATTGGCCACACCCCTGGCTCGGCTCCACCCCTGGATTGGCCACACCTCTGGCTCAGCTCCACCCCTGGCTTGGCCACACCCCTGGTTCACCTCCACCCCTGGATTGGCCACAACCCTGGCTCAGCTCCACCCCTGGGTTGGCCACACCCCTGGTTCACCTCCACCCTTGGATTGGCCACAACCCTGACTCAGCCCCACCAGCAGACTCAAGTACCCTAACGTTAGACCTGGTGGTACCTCAGATTCAAATGCTGATGGCCCGAGGAGGAAAACGATCTAATGATCTTTAGCATCGGGAACATTTTCCAGGAGCTGGCACTTCGGATGCCCTGTTACTCTCTAGTCTCACCTTGTGTTTCTCCCTGGGCTCCATGCCAGGAGGGAGAGACCTGGATACATCCCCAGCCCTGGTGAAAAAATGAAATGAAAATCTCACTACCATCCGCTGTCCTCAGAGCCACCTCAACCACAGCTTAGGAATAGGGATTGCTGATCCCAAGGATGGGGGAGGACCGGAAAAGAGAGGGAACTCCCACCTGCCACTGGTGTTGCCTGCTTAGTTCCCACACTGCTGGCCGGTGGGTGGAACGTGAGCCCATTCGCCATTCCCTAGAGCTGCCAAATCCTGCAGAATATGTCCTGCCAAACTCACTGGCCCTGCTGAAGGGACAGAAAGGGGCTTAACCAACCCCTAGTCTAAAACTGGGAAGGGAATTTTCTTGGCCCCAAGAAATCTCTGTTCAGAATATTGCTATTTGCTTAGATATGGAGGCTTTGAGCTGCAGCTCATTCTGTTTGGAGAGTGACTGACCCAAATCAGGCAAGATGGTACAGCAGAGGGATACAGACTTGCCCTCAAAATTCTCAAGCACCGAGTTACATAATCACTTCCAATTTTCATTTTGACACTGTGAGGCAGTGGAGATTAGATACAACTCCTGCTGAAGGTGACAAAAATTGAAAATGAAAATTAACTGTGACCTGGCAACCTTCCATACTTTTCTTGGGTCCAGCCCTGCTGCTGCCGGATTTCTCCTGGGGAAGACAGCACCCTGGCAGCAGCAGGGGGCCCAGAAGTTAATCTAATGTATCTCTGTTCCTGCTGGTTTCTAGCTGTATATCAGAAACCTCTAAACTGCCTTATGTTTGCAGCAAGTGGTGGTGGCTGGGGAGGAAGATGAGCTGATGGTCTGAAAAGGGCTTTCATTTTAGGGACCTCTTTTCTCCTGCTAAAGTTTGGGGTCTCCACTTTTTGGGGGGCACACCCTCTTGAAGCTCTCCAGGTGATGTAACTAGCAGTGATGGGGAACAGACCCCGGGGTGGGAGGCATCTTGCTTTGTGGTTCTCCGAGGATAGTTCCAACCCCATCCATTTCTCTGTCCTAGAACTGAACCTGGTGCAATAGGCCACCAGGCAATGTTTGCTGAATGACTGAATGACTGTTGTGAATGTTTGGGTAATAATACAGCCACAAGCCAATTCAGTGACTTCTTCTTGTGTGCCAGGTGCTGCATGAAGCCCTTGATATGGATGACCTTGTTTAATCCTCTGAACAACCTATGAGGTCAATGCTGTTTTTAGCCCCACTTTACAGATAAGGAGACTGAGGCTCCATTGGTTTAAGCAATTCAACTGAGTCACCTATCTTGGAAGAAGCGGGGCTGGAATCCAGGGCTCATGTGGTCATCCTTCTAGAGATAGGTCAGTCACCATCACCTTGGCCTCGAACACTTTCTGTCTCTTTCCCACAGGTTTTCCACGAAGTACTGGATGTCTCAGACGTGCACAGTCTGTGGGAAGGGGATGCTTTTCGGCCTCAAGTGTAAAAACTGCAAGTAAGTGCTATTCCTGGAGACACCTTTTCATGGTGCCTGGTGTCAGCAGGAGCCATCCCGGTGCATCCCGGTCTCTGAAATAGTTTATGGGACTTTGGTTTCTTGACCCTCAGGAGAGTGGCTTGCTCTATTTTTCAGAAGTAGGTCTTTTTTTTTTTAATTGAAGTATAGTCAGTTTACAATGTTGGGTTAATTTCTGGTGTAGCGCATAGTGATTCAGTTATATATGTGTATATATATATGTGTGTGTATATATATATATATATGTATTTTCCAGAAATAGGTCTTAAATGAACCTCTACCCTCGGGTAAGGGGTTGAGGAGGACAGCTGTGAAGAAGAACCAGTGCTAATGGGTGATGCTGGAAATGCATAATGCTGTCCATGGAGGCACAGAGGGAACTGGCATTTTCACAGCATCTGAGATCGGGGTTGGCAAGCTTTTTCTCTAGTTGACCAGATAGTAAATATTTTAGGCTTTACAGGGCCGTGAGGTCTCTGTTACAACCATTCAACCCTGCTATGTGGCGCAAAAGCAGCCATAGACAATATATAAATAAACGAGCATGACAGAATTTATTTATTCCAATAAAATCTTTAAAACAAATTTTTTTTTTACAAAAAATGTGCTGCGGCTGGCTTTGACTGATCCCTGAGTTAGAGTTTGCAAAGGCCTTTTCTCTTTTATTTTTTCTTCTTGTGGGGCTTCTCTGGGGAGTGGAGGAATGTGTTCTGATTCTTTCCATTTTACAGATGTGAAAGCTGAGTCCCAACAAGGATAAGTCACCTGCCTGAGGTCACATAGCTAGGAAGTGGCAGTCAGGACTTAGACTCTGGCCCCCTAACTCCTGTCCTTTCTGTGGCATCATGTCGGTCTTGAAGGCAGTGAGAAGACGAGACCAGACAAGTCCCCGCCTTCCCCTGACGTCCACCCAGGTCATGGACCCAGGTCACGACTGGCAACAGAGAGGGATGCAGGGAAACCCTGATGCCCAGCCTGGGCCCCGGAGTCAAACTGAGATGCACATACATCCTGGTCCTGCCACTTCTAGCCCGGTGACCTCGGGCGAGTCCCCTCACATGTCTGTTGCTCGTCTTGTCATCTGCAGGAAAGGAATAACTATCATTCCTGCCCAATGTGGTGGTGAGCCTTGAGAAAATCGGCAGTAAAGGACACAGCCTGGTGCCAGGCTTAGAGCTCTGTCTTCTGTCAAAGGTCATAAATGCCTTTCTGTCTAGCCATCCTCTTTCTTTCCGTAAACTTGTATTAAATGCCCTCTTTGGTCCAATTACTGTAAAATAGTCAATAGCATTCAGCTGTATCTTGGGGTTATGAATGAATGCTCATCTGATTGCTTTATAAAAGCCACTTAGTTAGAAAAATTGGAGGAGCCCTTCTTTCCCGTCTAGCCTTGCTCTTCCTTGTCCAGCCCAGGCTGGGAGCTCTCATTTGGGCTCCTCCAGGCCTCCCCACATCCCTGCCCCGTGATGGAGGAGGGTACCGGTAGGGGCACGTTCTTACTCTCCCCGCAGCCTGGATGTTTCAGTAATACGGCAAGGCTGGGAGCCCTTCCCTCCTGGAGTTGTGGGAAGGATTAATTAGGTCCAGCCCCTGAGGACCCTTAAGCTTCATGGCACAAGATGGGGGCTGGGCAGTGATTACCCAGCATTAGTGTTTGGAGCTCACGTCCCCACCTTGGTCCTTTATAGACTCAGGCTCTCAGGTGAGTCCTCAGAATGGCAGCCCCTGGTCTTTCTGACTTTGAGACGCACCAAGCCGGGCCCTCGGGTCCAACTTGAAGTTCTGTCTCATTTCCCCGTTACCCAGATGCTCCGGGGGCTTGCCTCACTGGTGTGCAGTCACCCCGTGTTCTGAGGGGAAACGGCGGCTCTCATATCCTCAAACCTGCCGAGCGGAGGCTTTGAAGTCAGGTAATTAGGTGACAGGGACGCAGCCAGGAGTCAGTGAGGCTGAACGCTTCCTGAGCCGTTTTAATTTTCAGCGCTCGAGGCAGAAGTCAGAGGTAGCCTTCATTCCTGCTCTCTGTTCTGGAAGTCTTGAGCAAGGCCTCAGACCCTGCCAAGGGCTGGGGGAGGGACAGGGACCTGGAGGGGAGAGGTGGCTGCAAGAAACAGGTTTTGAGAGTAGCCAGAACTGAGTTGGAGTCCCAGCTCCATTGCTGAACTGCCTATGTGAGCTTGAGCAAGGGACCCGTCATCCCTGGGCTCAGTTTCCTGACCTGCAAAGTGGGCCTGATGTTAGCGCCCCGCACAGGGGCTGCTGAAAGGAGTCGGTGAAATGTCCCTGCCCCAGATGGCAACGTTTTCTCAAAGACCGTTTCTCACCTCTCCACCTTGTGCAAAAATGGCTTCTGGAATTCTAGGAGGCAGAATTCAAACCAAGTCATGGATGGATCTGATTTCAGCCCTTAGAAAAATTGCCGAAAAGGTAAAAGCAGTCTGTAGCTGCTACGGAGTTCCGGCACGCTTCAGGAATTTGGACATTGTCCTTGTGTAACAGCAGCAGGGTTTAGCGCGTCCTCTAGTACGTGACTATAACTGTGCATTACCGATACCAACAGCTGAAGTTTGACCTTACTCTTCCATGAATGAAATTCTGCGGGTTTCGCATTAGTTACAGTGAGGACACATGACTGTTTATATGTGTTTTCAAAGACGGGCAAAATTTTGGAGGGAGGGTCAGATGAAAGAAAAAGGTAACACGCAGACCCCATTGTCAAGGAGTATAGGGGAAGACACACCTGGAGGGAAGTGAGTTTCAGTAAGACTGCAGTGTGTGCATAAAAGCAGGAACAGGTGAAGTTTCAGAGAGGCAGCACGGAGGATGGAGGGGGAGCTTCTTAGAAAAAATGGGCAGAACTGTTTGTTCATTTACTCGACTCACATTTGTTGAGCACGTCCAAAGCGCCAGGCACTGTTCTAGACACGGGGGAAATCACGCTGAGTGAAACAGACAGAATCCCTGCCCTCATGGAACTTACATGCTGGTGGGGGATGGGGATGGGGGGACAGACAGTAAGCAGAGTAAATCACTAAAATAGGTCATCTGTTCAGATGGTGCTTAAGTACTAAGTTGAAGAATGAAGCGGAGGAGGGAGACAGGGCCAGGGAAGGGGCTGCAATTTTCATTAAAGTGCTCAGGAAAGGTCTTATACCTGAGTGAGAACTTTGAGGGAAAAAAATAGTGTGTGATGCAGGTCCTTTCCAGAGGCTTGGGTTTGAATCTGTCGCAAAGGCAATGGTTCTTTTTCCTTTTCTTTGTTTCCTTTTTTTTTTTTTTCTTAGCCTAGAGCAGTTCTGGTTCTGTTACTGACAGAAACTCCCTGCGTGACAGAGGTTGGCTTTGACCCATGGTACTCAGTGTGTGGTCCCTGGACCGGCAGCATCAGTGTCACGTGGGAGCCGGTCAGAGAGGCAGACTCTCAGCTCCATCCCAGACCTGCTGCAGCAGAATCTGCATGTTAAGATGGTCCTGGTGATTCTTGTGCACATTCAGTTTGAGAAACACTACTCTTAACAGCTCCAAATTCCCTTGCAGAGCTGATTTTATTTTTCTAGATTATGGGTCTCAAATGTGAGTGTGTATCAGAATCCCCTGGAAGGTGTATTAAAACACGAGATTCCTGAACCCCCGCCCCCTCTGGCTGGAGTCTCCAATTCAGCATGTCTCAGGTGGGGCCCCAGAATTTGCATCTCTCACAAGTTCCCAGGTGATGCTGATTGCCGCTGGTCCTGGGACCACAGTGTGAGAACCACTGCTCTACATAAAAGCAGCAGTTCGACAAAATCAGACTTTATTTTCCAGCCTGACGTTTCAGCGTGTAAGTTTTTTTGTTTTTTGTTTTTTTTCTTTTAAAGGTTGGTCCATCTTTGCTGATTATTTTTCAGGCTCTTCTGCGGTTACATCCCTTGACCTCGCTTTGTAGACGTGAATCTTTTTCATCCTCGGTCCTCCAGTAAATTCATCCAGTAAATATTTATGTGCTGAGTCAAAAAGATAAGGTGTGATTAGGAACCCAGGCTGTAGGTCTCACACACACACACACACACACACACACACACACACATTTAAATCCTGACTGTGCCACTAACACTTTGATTATTTCTGAGCCTCAGTTTCTCCCTCTATGGAAAGAAGAAAATAATATTCACCTTACTAGATTGTTTTAAAAAAAAACAACAACTGAGATTAAATAAGGGAAAATGCTTAGCCTAGTACCTGGCCCATTATAAGAGCTTAATAAATGAGAGCTCATGCTGTCACTGACTGAATTAATTTTGGGGTACCCTCCACCCAGTAAGCCAGGATACTTCTGAATGTCTAGTCCCTTTCCCTCCTGCTTTGGTTCAGTGCCCACTTCCTCCGGAATTATCATCAGCTGTCTTGTCGGCATTCTGAATAGAGAGATTAATGAACTAATAGGAAATTATGCTCAGAAAGCAATTTGCAGTTATCTAAAATGAGGCGTCTTCATCTAATAAGTTCATGGGCACGGAATGGAGTTTAGTTCTAAGTGGCTGGATCGTCAGCACAATCCACACATTGTCTGATAACTGTGGACTCAGCTGGCTGAAGTTTGCTTTTGCAAAAGTAAGATGCTGATGGATTTCCCGGGCCGCAGTCCTGCCTTATCTGCATCCTTCCTCCTTCTCGGGGTCCTTCCACAGGCCTCTGCCCAGCTGAGGCCTGGTTCCTTGGAAGTCCCTCCACCCTGCCTGCAGTTTTTGCATCTTTGCAGGGAGTGTGAGTGTTCTGGGCTGAGGAAACAGCATGAGCAAAAGCTTGGATCAGGACTTAAAGGAGTCTGAGCGCACTTTGCAGGCAGGAACCGGAGTGGAGAGGAGATCAGTCCGGCTTTGCAGCCGCAGTACCGGTCCTGCTGCCGTGACTCACGCTGCTGTGTCCCGGGGCCCCAGGCCCGTGTGGGGCTCCGCTCACTGCCCATCCGGCCGCATGCCGGGGAAGGCAGTCTTGGACTC